GATCAGTGCACACCGGGGCACACAACGTTCAACCTGCTGCCTTTTTCTTCGAGCCGGCACAGAGAGAGCTGTCCTGATCCAAATTCTGCTGGGTTAGTGCAACCATTCAGAAGGAGCGCCCTTCTGCAGGAAACGCTCAAGTACAGAGCGATGAATTTCCGTGTTCATATACCAACTGCAACCCAGGAGTTCACGACGCTGCCGTGGCAGCAAATAATTCCAGATTCCAAACAAGACTTTCGAATCATCGAGATTGAACAGCTCCTCGAGATTAGGAGTGTAGCTTGTGTCGGAGCTTGCAGAAGATGGTTCCTGTTCAGGTTCCTTTTCCATTAGTGCCACTTGAAGTGTGGGCAGGGTGGGCTTCAAATTTTCGCCTTCCAGCTTCAGCCCAGATCTTGCACTGTATATAGTCATGTGTTCACAACTGCAACTCAAGAAACTAAAGACATGACTGCACATGTCCGCACATGACTGCCAATGTGAAAAACCGTTGCCATGGGCCATCCAGCCCACCAAAAAGGGAGCCATCTACGTATATACCATCCTATATATACAAATCCTGCTCTCTACGTGCACATATACGGTCCTGCTCACAATTCTGCCCTGTGGGGCCATCCAGCCCAGCTCCTGTGGGGCCATCCAGCCCAGCAAATGCATCCTCGCACACAGAAACACACGGTCCACACAGCTTGTTTTTTTTCGCCCTTTGCCGTCTCGGGTCTGCAGATATGCGAGTCGGAAGTCTGTGGTGCTCCGTCCTGTCAGAGACAGAATACAGAACTTCAAAACACACAAATGCTCCAAAGAACTGCCCATCCAGGCAGAAAGAAACACTGCATGTGACGGCTATTATCCCAGTTCTTCTGCTCCTTTTACGGTGCAATGCGATCAAGCATAATTAAGTATATCCAGATCCTGATCCTGTGCATCCATGAAGTCCGTCAGTTGCTCCGGCAAAACTCCAGTACGGCATGCTGGATCCTATGCATGTTGACATACTGCAAGTTCCACACGTCCTGCCAAAGGCACACATGATTCTTATGCAGGGGTTTTGTGAAAAAGGTTCGGGTCCTCAACCGCTGCGGTCAGCTCGTACAAATACCAAGCAAGCTGCAAAAGGTTCTGGTCCAGGAGCTGGACGAACATCGCCTCCACGAGATTCCCGCACTTGCTGTCGTTGCACAACCCCTTCTCCGAGGTAACCTTCGGGCAAATCAGCACGAGGAGCATCTTCAGCCCCTTGTTTCCAAGATCCGGCATTTTTTCGCCTGTGTCTGGTGGCGTATATTGTGAAGTCTTTCCTTCCTTGGCTGAAAGGCTTCTTGATTTTTCTAGGTACAAAAAACCACACACATCCATGTTTGAACAAGTCTCTCATGCTCCGGCAGCTTGTGGACTCTCCTTGCCTCGTCCCGGATCGCTGTGAAGTCCAAGGCCTCGAAACCTGCACCTGAATGTTGCAATCGCACAGAATTTTCGGGTGCAGGGTACATATATATATATATATATATAGGGTGATCACCAAAAAAACTACCAAATATCAGCCTAGGTTCGCAGATTCGTATAATATGTCCAGGCTTGTTGTCCTTTCGCTCCATAAGCACGAACACGAGCCATAGTTGGCAGGGGCGGCATCGGTTCGGGAATTCCTCCACCTGCTTCTCCAGCGGTTCCTCCACCTGCTCCAGGTCCTGCTGGTCGTGCTGGTTCGGCCGCAAGTGCTGTTTCTGGTCCTGGTCCTTCTCCTGATCCACGAGCTGCCTCGATTTCCCCTGATCCAGGAGGTGCCACGGGTTCATCTCGAACTGAGAGCCGGAACTCTGTTCGCTCTCCGGTTTTTCTTGGTGGAGGATGGAAATCTCCGTACAGATTCAGGCGGAAACTAATCTCGCACAACGTTGCCGTGAAGAGTGCCTTGTCCATGAATTGGTCCGTGTGTGCGGCAAACTCCTTGCGAAACATCCGCTCATTGTGTAGTTTGACACAAATCCCCACCCACCCACACACACCCACAACCACACAGACTCACTATATTTATTTATACATTTAACTTTATGTAGCCAAGCATCGAGGTAGTAACTTGTTTTTTCGAAACGGCCGGGAGACTCCTGGCACACGTGCTCCCCTGCCTGGACCATCACAAGGAGAAACTCACCGTAGGGGACGTCCGAATCGTGTCCAAGCAACCTCCTCCATTCCGCCTGCAGGTACACTTCCAACTCGTCAGCATGATGAGCCATTTCCTGAAACCGTAGAGGACGAGGGGCACTTTGTGTTTTTTTCCTGATGCTTGATTTCACAATGGCTTCTCACATGCACACAGATTGCGAAGTTGCACACCTCGCACTCGGACTCACTCGGCAAAAAAAGGGCCATCCGGCCCGGTGCCATCCGGCCCGGGGCCATCTCCAGTCCTCCTCCGACATGAAAACACGGCCCCGTGGTCCTTTCACACAAAAAACAATGTACAGACTACACAACACCACAGAGGCAATCCAGCCCTCCTGCAGTGTATATGCACACACAAAATCCTGTCAGGCTTTTTGATTCTTTCACAAGGTACAAAAAGCCACACACATATCCATGTTTGAAAACAAGTCTCTCCTTTATATATACATACACAGCATCCTGAAATCACTCTCTACACAACAGGGGCCATCCAGCCCTCGTCCTGCGGCAGCACAAAGGCACAGACACCGGGCCATCCAGCCCACACAGCGGCACACAAGAAAGCAAGCAGGCAACCAACCAAAAAGCGATTGCCACTCTTTTTCGCGGCACATGAGATAAGCCTTCTCACGGCAGCTGTGATAATCAGCCTACAAAATTCTAGTCCTGTGCTCCTCTCAGGTATCTTTGGCTCTGGCCGCGAGCTTGCCGTTGACCCCGGCAATGTCCTCGTCGATCTGCTTCACAAAAGTGCCCTGGCTTTTCAAAAAGTGTTGCACCTTCTCGAAGGTCACCTCGCCTGGGTAGTCCTTCGTCGGCAGCTCCTGTGTGGCACGGGGGGGCGGCTTCGGGAGGTTTGGGTGTGTTTTCGAAAGGGTCTGTCCTGGAACTTCTTCAAAG